GCCTAATATACACTACCTGAGGCTTAATATAGTACGTATGTAGACTATATTAGGCCTAGGAATGTTTAAGTTTGCTTTTTAGCTTCCAATTTCCTGTCGCTATAAAGTGAATAGTACCAAAGTCTACTACGGGCTCACCATAGGCCGTGCTACTTGGAACTTTTTGTTCCTGGTAGCGAATCCTAAACAACAACAACAACCAAAGTCTAATAGTCCATATACGACTATGTATATGTGAATGGTTCACACAGTCACATAAAGTACTGTCTAAACAGGAGGATGGGTTGCCTTTATGAGTAACTGTACGCCATTATGAGTAATTGGACCCCACTGTGAATAACCGCATACTAGTGTGAGTATAACTCATGTTATGAGTAAGTTATTACCATAATGAGTAACCGCACGCCGTTATGAGTATAATACATGACATTATTTGCAACTGCATATGCCTTTATGAGTAACTTCTTGCAATTAAAAATAACTGCATGACATTATGAGTATAATCCATACTAGTGAGTAACAGTATGCAATGTTGAATACACTGTATGAAACTGTATACATGAATCCATACTTGAGAATGAAGGTCTCTGTCATACGCATCAGAATGAACAATAAATTCACCTGACTGACATATATATGAGTTTAGTGAATACATTTCTCTCTCCAAAATAGGGTGCAGCCAAGTCCTATAGACTAACTGCCTATAGGACTATAAGGTAGGAAACTATGAGGAGAAAGCGCCGAGCCATTACGAGTATATATAGCACTTGGAAAGGATCAGGATAAGGATTTGGGATGGGATAGGATGAGTGAAAAGGTAGTTACTATTTTCATTGGCCAAAATGCATATGTAACTTCCATTGTGGGAGAGAAAAAATACATAAAAGGATTCGAACAGTTCAACTACTGAACTACCAACCAATTTGCAACCCACACAACAGCTACCTAAAACCCTTGAATATACCCATGTATATATATATATATATATAACTACCAGCTAGGTGAATAGGTGCATGAGGTGAAAGTACCCGTGCCCAATCATTTCGAATCTGGCACGGAGGTCGAACCCTGGATTCTCGGTTTGTGGGTAGAGGACGTATAGAGCACTATATGCCACAGGACCCGTATGGGAGTTCCGTCTCTAAAAGGAGAAAGTTCTGAAAAAGGGTTTAGACAGAATGACAGTGAACTTAGACAGGAATAACAGTGAACTTAGACAGGGATGACAGTGAACTTAGACAGGGATGATAGTGAACTTAGACAGGGATAACAGTGAACTTAGACAGGAATAACAGTGAACTTAGACAGGATAACAGTGAACTTAGACAGGATAACAGTGAAGTTAGGAGGCCGGTAGGGAAGAGGACACATCATGGTGAGGCGGCAGTGATGTGTGTGCACTGTTTAACAGTGATATTTATACAACATATCGTTTATCTTTATTTGGTGGAATTTATCACGATACAATAATACAATACAATATCACTATACACTATCCTAATATACAATATCACAAATACAATATATCGATACAGCAAACATGTTGTTAAAGCCTGTGACAGGAATTCTGAGGCAGCTGAACAGTTTGGTTAAGAATGACTCCCGTTGTTCACGTACGTCCCGTTGTTCACGTACGTCCCGTTGTACACGTACGTCCCGTTGTTCACGTACGTCCCGTTGTTCACGTACGTCCCGTTGTACACGTACAACCCCCGTTGTACACGTACAAACCTTCGTTGTTCACGTACGTCCCGTTGTTCACGTACAACCCCCGTTGTACACGTACAAACCCCCGTTGTACACGTACAAACTCCCGTTGTACACATACAAACTCCCGTTGTTCACATACTAACTCCCCGACTTGGGATAACTTGGTCCAACAGGCTGTTGCTTGGAGCGAACCGCAGGCCCACATATCCACTACATCCCGGTTGGTCCAGCAATTCTTGCAGGAACTTGTCTAAATGTTTCTTGAAGATATCCATCTTTGTTCCAGCAATATTTCTAAGGTTTGCTGGGAGGGGTGTTGAACAGCTGTGGACCTCCGATGTACAGACAGTGTTCTCTGATTGTGTCTATGACACCTCTACTCATCACTGGTTCTATTTTGCATTTCCTTCCGTACCTTTCGCTCCAGTATGTCGTTATTCTACTGTGTAAATCTGGGACCTGGCCCTCTAATATCTTCCATGTATATATAATATTTGATACCTTTCTCGTCTCCTTTCCAGATACATTTAGAGAGCATTTAGAAGGTTCCAATAGTTTAGATATTTTATTGTGTCAATGTGTGTCGTATATATTATCTGCGTTGCCTGTAATTCAGAGATCTATTTTGCTCGGAAAAAGGGAAGGGAGTACTGAGCAGTACTCAAGACGGGACAGCACCACGTACCTAATAGGCCAAGTTGCCTAACGAGCCAAATTTTCATGAAATTATCCAATTTACACAGTAGCACAAACTTACCTGGTTACAGTAAAGATTCTGAAACTTTCCTGCTTACAATACCGAGATACAAACTGTATTGGTTACAGTGAAAATATCCCAACAAGGGTCGACATACGGGGAAGTTTTTTCAAAGTTATCATCAGTTATCAGCAAGTACAGTTATCATCAGTTATCATCAAAGTACAGTTATTATCAGTTTTCACCCTGCCTCAACACGTATTCTCGCTCGAGACTAAGAACTGGCATCATTTTGTCTTTATCTAAGAATATTATGAGGTCGTATTCTTACTGCGGGGACAGGAAGCCTTTACTTAGGCTCGTAGAGGTCCCCCAAAAGAATGCAACCCACAACAGTGCCCTGACTCCCGGGCTCCAAAGGTTAGCTGAATAGAGGCATCAGGCGAAACATAACTTTCCCAAGAGTTTCTGTATCACCCGGGTATCGAACCAGGGTTTCTCAGCTGCAAGGCGAGGGCGTATGCACCTCTGTGCAACAGGTCTTTTATATAATGTCCTATAAGGGCAACTTATTCCTTACAAAAGCAAGATATTTTAATATATTTCTCAATTATTTCCATGGATACTGGCCCCAAAGTACACTTCAACCCACATCAACATTAGAGAGAATCATTAACAACAATTCATCACTGCTAAATAACAGAATCTTCTGATGATTCTCGCCCGAAAATTGGCTTACAGCAAAACGATTATTTACAAATATAATGTACCACAATGCAAAGTTAATTTGAATTCAAAACATATTAATTACAGGAAAACAAAGCAGTGCAGATATTGTCATCTAAATTTATGATATCATCATATAATTTTACATTTCTTTTCATAGATCTACACAATTTTGTGCCTGCATATAGGCCTACACAATGTTATACCTACACATATAATAATCAAAGTCTCAGGATTACACGGAACATATAAAAAAATAGATAAATATATTTGATCTTACTGAGACAGGTTGTTCCTTTAACACCATTGTCTTCAGAGTTAAGTCGCTGGTCAAGACATGTCAACACTCCCTACACTGAACCATAACAATACTTGCTAAGGACTCAATGAACAACACTCCTATGTAAACTTACTCGGACATAGATTCGAACCCTCGTCACGGCTCTCGTGGATTTGTTTACTCCTATGTAAAGTTGGAATACATTTTGTATTTTCATTCTTGTAATCACAATAAAGTTGATGAATAAATTGATCATGTATAATACACTAGAATTTTGCAACTTTAGGTAATTACCATATATAGCAACAATGTAAATGCAGTTTTGCTTTATATATATATATATATATATATATATATATATATATATATATATATATATATATATATATATATATATATATATATATATATATATATATATGTCGTACCTAGTAGCCAGAACGCACTTCTCGGCCTACTGTGCAAGGCCAGATTTGCCTAATAAGCCAAGTTTTCCTGAATTAATATATTTTCTCTATTTTTTTCTTATGAAATGATAAAGCTACCCATTTCATTATGTATGAGGTCAATTTTTTTTTATTGGAGTGAAAATTAACGTAGATATATGACCGAACCTAACCAACCCTACCTAACCTAACCTAACCTAACTTTATAGGTTAGGTTAGGTTAGGTTAGGTAGCCGAAAAAGTTAGGTTAGGTTAGGTAGGTTAGGTAGTCGAAAAACAATTAATTCATGAAAACTTGGCTTATTTGGCAAATAGGCTGAGAAGTGCGTTCTGGCTACTAGGTACGACATATATATATATATATATATATATATATATATATATATATATATATATATATATATGGCTTCTGTGACTAATATAGCTTTTAATTGCATATTTTATATGATTACCGTTGTAATTCCAGTTTTGAAAAGCCACCATTCACTGTACAGGTGCAAGCATATAGTGCCACTATTCAGTTCACGGGCATCAGCATGAGAAAGCCACTAATCAATGCGCATGCGGAAACATTCGGAAGCCCCCTACTGAATGCGTGGAGAAGCCTCAGTGCGCAGGCGCGCCAGCATGTAAACAAAAAGTAATCATTCATTCTTAATACTGAGCCACACTGACAGAATACACAGAAACCACACTGACAGTCTTCACACTAGAGAACACCGACTTTCTTTATGCTAAGACGATGCTAAATACTACATCATATCAGGCATACAACTAAATATATATATACATATATTTATATATATATATATATATATATATATATATATATATATATATATATATATATATATAATATGCGTAAGTATAATGTGTTTCCCTATGTTTTTTATGATTATTTTTACACACACACACACACACACACACACACACACACACACACACACACATACATATATATATATATATATATATATATATATATATATATATATATATATATATATATATATATATATATATATATATAAAATGTGTGTAATATGTGAAAGAATGTCTGTCGGAAGTTGAAGGTCAGACGCTCTGGGCTAGCCTCACTCAAATATATATACTGGTAAATGCTGCTGGGTCTGGGTGGGTCTCAAGGTAGACTAGAGGGCTCCCGACGATTTTTGAGCGTCTTGTTCTGTCTCAATTCCGTCACCTTGCAGGTCATCTCGGGGACATCTCTGGGCGGCCCTCGGGGCGACGTCAGGCCGTTTGCGTAGCACCCCAGAAACCCATTCACGACTTTATTCATTTCCTGTGAAATAAAACACACAATGAAGATGGTTGTAGAGTCACGCTTTGATTCACACACACAGATCACAATAACGTGATGCATCAAGGTATCCAGTAAGTTCAGTAGAACTTCGGTTTCAACCCTTTTACCCTGTCGTAGCTCAGTCGATTAAGGCAGTGTCTGGGATGCTCCCGGACGCAGGGTCGAATCCTCGTCACGGCCTTTGTGGATTTGTTCACGCTTTGATTGTTTCAAGCGAAGATTGGGCCTATAATTACAAGAGCTTGGATGGATACAAACAGCTGCAAGCCTCGAATTGGCCAATTGTTTTTTTTTTTTAATTTCATTCCTGGGAATAACGGAAGATATCAACCAGCCTAACATACACCGAAACTACGACGTTGGTACAACGTTCGAACAAGTTTTAACACCTCCTAACCAGTTATAACAACCAATATAGCAAGTTGTAACAACGTTCTAATACGTCATAAACACGTTAAGCCAAGATGTAACAACTTTATTACAAGTTGTAACAAGCTGAAAATAGAGACATTTACGGTTTGTGTTTCCAGGGATATACGCTTGATAGTCTGTTGACCTCTGTGTCTATCACGGGGTAATGTGTGTGTTGGAGAAGGGTACATTATGTTCGTTGATATGAGGCTACTCGTTAACAACTGCTCAACACTTTAGTAAATAATTAAATGAAGTGAAGTATTTAAATAGTGTGTCGTAGTGTAGACGAGATTATTAATGCTCACAAAATGACAACTGAGTAAACACGTCTTTTTAGGCCTGAATCTTAGTTAATCTAAGCACACACATACACACACACACACACACACACACACACACACACACACACACACACACACACACACACACACACACACACACATGTGCACAGGTATCATTTGGGAGATGAAATACTTCAAGAGTCAGAGAGAGAGAGAAAGACCTGGGGGTTGATATCACGCTAGACCTGTCCCCTGAAGCCCATATCAAGAGGATAACATCAGCGGCATATGCCAGGTTGGCCAACATAAGAATGGCCTTTAGAAACTTGTGTAATGAATCCTTCAGAACTTTGTATACCACATATGTCAGACTAGTCCTGGAGTATACAGCTCTAGCATGGAGTCCATATCTAATCAAGCATAAGACTAAACTGGAAAAGGTTCAAAGGTTTGCCACCAGACTAGTACCCGAACTGAGGGGTATGAGCTACGAGGAGAGACTACGGGAATTAAACCTCACGTCGCTGGAAGACAGAAGAATTAGAGGGGACATGATCACCACATACAAAATTCTCAAAGGAATTGATAGGGTAGATAAGGACAGACTATTTAACACAAGGGGCACACAAACTAGGGGACACAGGTGGAAATTGAGTGCCCAAATGAGCTATAGAGACATTAGAATTTTTTGTTAGTGTCAGAGTTGTTGACAAATGGAATGCATTAGGCAGTGATGTGGTGGAGGCTGACTCCATACACAGTTTCAATTGTAGATATGATTGAGCCCAGTAGACTCAGTAACCTGTACATCAGTTGACTGACACTTGAGCTCTTTGGTCCCACCTCTCAACTGTAATGTATTCACCTAGTTGTGCTTGTGGGGGTTGAGCTCTGGCTCTTTGGTCCCGCCTCTCAAGTGTCAATCAACTGATGTTTATATTCTGGAGCCTATTGGGTTCTATCATATCTACATTTGAAACTGTATGGAGTCAGCCTCCACCACATCACTGCTTAATGCATTCCATCTGTTAACTACTTTGACACTGAAAAAAATTCTTTCTAATGTCTCTGTGGCTCATTTGGGTACTACGTTTCCACCTGTGTCCCCTTGTTCGTGTTCTACCCGTGCTAAAGAGTTTGTCTTTGTCCATCTTATCAATTCCCCTGAGAATTTTGTATGTGATTATCATGTCTCCACTTACTCCCCTTTTCTGTCTTCCAGGGACGTGAGGTTTAGCTACCGTAGCCTTTCCTCGTAGCTCATACCTCTCAGTTCTGGGACTAGTCTGGTGGCGTACCTCTGAATCTTCTCTAACATTGTTTTTGTTTAACTAGATATGGACTCCAGGCTGGAGTTGCATACTCCAGGCTTGGTCTGACATAAGTGGTATACAGGGTCCTGAAGGATTACTTATACAGGTTTCTAAACGTAGTTATTTTGTTGGCCAATCTAGCATATGCCGCTGATGATATCCTTTTGATATGGGCTTCTGGGGACAGGTACTGTGTGATATCAACCCCCAGATCTTTCTCTTTATTTGACTCTTGCAGGATAACACCTCCCAGATGGTACCTTGTGTTTAGCCTCCTGCCCCCTTCGTCTAATTTCATTACTTTATATTTTCCTGAGTTGCTTTATAGTACCAATTTTCTAGACCATTCCTCCAGTTTGTCCAGGTCGTCCTGTAGTCACTGTCTCTCTTCATCTGTCTTGATTCTCCTCATAATTTTTGCATTATCAGCAAACATTGAGAGGAATGAATCTATAGCCTCTGGAAGATCGATTTGAAACAGGATGGGTCCAAGTACAGAGCCCTGTGGGACTCCGCTGGTGACATCTCGCTACTCTGATGTCTCCCCTCTCACAGTTACTCGCTGTTTCCTGTTGCTTAGATACTCCCTTATCCACTGGAGCCCCTTACCTTTTACTCCTGCCTGTTTCTCCAACTTTTGTAACAGTCTTTTATGGGGTACTGTGTCACTCATTCCCATGGGGGCTTCAGATTTGACTTCCCTTACTTTTGACTCATTCAAGGTGAATATCAGGTCGAGTCTAGCTGGTTCGTCATTGCCTTTCATTCTTGTGGGTCCCTTGACATGTTGGCTCAAAATGTTTCTTGTTGCCACTTCCAAGAGTTTAGCTCTCCATGTATCTGCACCAACATGTGGTTCCCCATTCTTCCAGTCTATCTTGCCATGGTTGAATTCGCCCATGATTAAGAGTCTGGATCCATTCCTACAGGCATTTGAAGCTGCTCTATTATATTATTGGTTGCCATGTTGTTCCTATCAAACTCCTGTCTATGTCTTCTGTCATTTAATGGAGGGTTGTAAATGACTGTTAGTATTATCTTAGGTCCACCCATTGTCATAGTTCCTGTTACATAGTCTCGAAGCCCTCACAGCCAGGAATTTCCATGTCTTTAAAACTCCAGTCCTTCCTTATCAGCAGGGCCCCTCCTCTCCTCCTCTCCCACCCCCTCTCTTTCCTTACTATATAGTAATCCCGAGGAAAGACTGTATTTGTTATGATGCCTGACAATTTTGTTTCTGTGAGTCCTATTACATCTGGGTTTTTTTCCTGCACCCTTTCTGCCAGTTCACTTGCTTTATTAGTAATCCCATCTATGTTTGAGTACATCAGCTTAAAGTTCACTTTACTATTTCCATTTTCACCCACCCTCCCCACTGGTGTAGGAAGCCGTTCGATGAGCAGGGCTACGTGGGTAGGCTCATCCTCCTGTGGGTTGATACCAGGGGTTTGGAGGGAGGTGAGGTGGGGGGATGGAGGGCTTAGATCTTGTGTGTGTGTGTGTGTAATTACCTAAGTGTAGTTACAGGATGAGAGCTACGCTCGTGGTGTCCCATCTTCCCAGCACTCTTTGTCATATAACGCTTTGAAACTACTGCAATGTGTGTGTGTGTGTGTGTGTGTGTGTGTGTGTGTGTGTGTGTGTGTGAGTGTGTGAGTGTGGGTGGAGACACGCCACGATACATAATTAATAATTTAATAAAAAATAGTTATTTTCAGAATACTTCGATGGCGATAAAAAATATAACAGTAAGCGCTTAACAACCTGTAAAAACTTACCTGAGTTCTGGCCTTGGTGCTGGCCCGGATATACGCCTGCAGGTAGAAGTTTGAAAACAGGAAAAGGAACATCACGGAGGTGCCAAAGATCCACCAAGTTATCTGGTAAGGCACAGGGCACTCGATGAACAGTAACTGCAAAAATGGAATCATATCCGTTATAACGTTGTTCTTATAAATATTTCGAGATTTAGAGGACAAGCGTATCCCTAAAACCCCATTGGCTTAGCCCCGAGGGTGCGCGCGTTCAACCTTGAAAACTCATTGACTTAACTCAAAGAATATTTATTTGGTGACATGAACACGGAAAGAATTGTGTCATCTTGGGCTCTTACCAACTCCTGTCTTACGTGTTCGGAATAAGATGCGAAACTTACTCCTACGTTACGTTTGCTGAATGCTAAGTTTAGACCTGGCTTACGCCTGCTGAATACTATACTACGCTAAGCTCAGACTTGCCTCTCGCTTGGTGAATACTTAGACCTGCCTCATGGCCTGCTGAATACTGTGCTAAGCTTAGACCTGCCTGACGCCTGCTGGATACTGTGCTAAGCTTAGACCTGTCTCACACCTGCTGAATACTGTGCTAAGCTTAGACCTGTCTCACACCTGCTGAATACTGTGCTAAGCTTAGACCTGTCTCACACCTGCTGAATACTGTGCTAAGCTTAGACCTGCCTCACGACTCGTGAACAAGACAGGACGCTTACAGATCCTGTCGGAACAGTGTGACAGAAGGCGGGAAGTGAGGCTTGTCGAAGAAATACTTGCAAATGTGTTTCTTGGAGTGGTTTCAAATGCAATAGTGTTTGCAAGACTGAAGTGTTTACAAGACTGATGTGTTTGCACGACTGTAGTGTTTGTAAGACTGTGTTGCCGCAGTCAAACATCACCTGAGAGTCCGAGATATTTGAACAGAAAATGGAGAGTTGATTAAGAGCATTAGTGATGATTGATGATGCTATGTGGTGATTTGGTTGATGATTCCTGCAGTGTGTTTTTCAAGCGGGGGGTTCCAGAGAACCTTCCTCAGGGTTACATTGGCTGCCATAGGTTCAAGGGACGGTGCTAATGCCTCTCACAGTTGATATAGACCACTATTACATGACCTTGGCTGCCATAGATGACAGTCACCTGGTCACTCACTGTCACCTGGTCACTCACAGCTCGTCACTCACAGTCACCTGGCCACTCACAGTCACCTGGTCACTCACAGTCACCTGGTCACTCATAGTCAGCGAGAGATTGTGTGAGGAAGCGAGAGAGTGTTACAAACCTGGTATGACGCGAGGTATGACGCAGGGTATGACGCGGGCTATGACGCAGGGTATGACGCGGGCTATGACGCAGTTTATGAGGCTGGGTGTGACGCAGGTTATGACTCAGGGTATGACGCAGGGTATGACGCAGGGCATGACGCAGGGTATGACGCAGGGCATGACGCAGGGTATAACGCGGGGTATGACGCAGGGCATGACGCATGGTATGACTCAGGGTATGACGCAAGATATGACGCAGGGAATGACAGTCGCCAGAACTAGACGGAATAAGGGGGTCAATATACACGTATATCATACACTAGTGTACCCGGCAGTGCCCGGGTCGACCGGGCATCACCCCACTGAGACACAAATCTTAGAAAATTGATAAGAAATAATGACCATAGAAACATATAGTCTTGCAGTCTCCGTGGTGTAGTGGTAAGACACTCGCCTGGTGTTCCGCGAGCGCTATGTCATGGGTTCGTATCCTGGCCGGGGAGGATTTACTGGGCGCAATTACTTAACTGTAGCCTCTGTTTAACGCAACAGTAAAATGTGTACTTGGATGAAAAAACGATTCTTCGCGGCAGGGGATCGTATTCCAGGGACCTGCCCGAAACGCTACGCGTACTAGTGGCTGTACAAGAATGTAACAACTCTTGTATATATCTCAAAAAAAATATATTGCTCTACAGCACTGTAAACCAGCCCTTACGAGGAGTGGATATATACGATATCGTATGTGGTACAGTGAATATAAAAGTGAATGCAGTCAAACAATACAGTGATTGGCTTATCGAATAGACGTGAGATTAATTTACAGATTATTTAATAGGTTTTAACTCATTTTTTGTACTATTTTGCCGTGTTTCTCTGTCCTGGAATGCTGCCTTAAAAACGGGGAATCTGGATAAGGATTGTGTGATGTAACCGAAGCACTCAATCGTAGTGTCGCCCAGAAGGTCTTGTAGTACTGCAAGACAACCTCCTGCAAAGCAAGGTGCTCGGCATGTGCAATATATTGAGATTAGTGGCGCGAAACCAAGGATACACACACACACACACACACACACACACACACACACACACACACACAGTCAGAATCATTCAGAATCTTGTACACCACATATGTAAGACCAATCCTGGAGTATGCGGCCCCAGCATGGAGCCCGTACCTTGTCAAGCACAAGACGAAGCTGGAAAAAGTCCAAAGGTATGCTACTAGACTAGTCCCAGAACTAAGAGGCATGAGTTATGAGGAAAGGCTGCGGGAAATGCACCTCACGACACTGGAAGACAGAAGAGTAAGGGGGGACATGATCACAACCTACAAAATCCTCAGGGGAATCGACCGGGTAAACAAGGATGAACTTTTCAACACTGGTGGGACGCGAACAAGGGGACACAGGTGGAAGCTGAGTACCCAAATGAGCCACAGAGACGTTAGAAAGAACTTTTTCAGTGTCAGAGTAGTTAGCAAATGGAATGCATTAGGAAGTGATGTGGTGGAGGCTGACTCCATTCACAGTTTCAAATGTAGATATGATAGAGCCCAATAGGCTCAGGAATCTGTACACCAGTTGATTGACGGTTGAGAGGCGGGACCAAAGAGCCAGAGCTCAACCCCCGCAAGCACAATTAGGTGAGTACAATTAGGTGAGTACACACACACACACACACACACACACACACACACACACACACACACACACACACACACACACACACACACACACACACACACAATGACAAATGGAATGCATTAGGAAGTGATGTGGTGGAGGCTGACTCCATACACAGTTTCAAGTGTAGATATGATAGAGCCCAATAGGCTCAGGAACCTGTACACCTGTTGATTGACAGTTGAGAGGTGGGACCAAAGAGCCAGAGCTCAACCCCCGCAAGCACAACTAGGTGAGTACAACTAGGTGAGTACACACACACACACACACACACACACACACACACACACACACACACACTCAATATTCAATACACTGTGAAGGTAAACCCATATTGCTCAATCTGTGTTTAGAAAGAAATGGTTTAGAAATCAACGACTATGAATGACGTGGGAAGGTGTTTGTGTCCCCAACCTAGCCCTCCTGTGTCCCCAACCTAGCCCTCCTGTGTCCCCAACCTAGCCCTCCTGTGTCCCCAACCTAGCCCTCCTGTGTCCCCAATCTATTCCACCTGTGTCCCCCAACCTATCCCATATGTGTCCCCAATCTATTCCACCTGTGTCCCCCAACCTATCCCATATGTGTCCCCAACCTATTCCACTTGTATTTCCAACTTATCCCACATGTGTCCCCAACCTAGCCCACCTGTGTCCCCCCAACATATCCCACATGTGTCCCCCAACCTATCCCACCTGTGTCCTATCCCAGCCTAGCCTCACACAGCTCACCTGCAAGGAGTGTACCATGACAAATATGAACTGGACCATCTGGAGGGCGGTGAGGTACTTCTTCCACCAGAGGAAGGGACGGACTCGGGGCCCCATGGCCGCCAGCAGGTAGTACGAGTACATCACCACGTGGACGAAGGCGTTCAGGAACCCCATGAAGCTACTGTGGCCACCTGTAGAACAAAATAACATACACACAATAACAGGTTCCAATAACGTGTTAAATAAACATTTGATGCACAACTTAACCCATCGGAAAAAAATGTGAAAGTGATGACATTTCAACCCCCGACAAGCATTTGTGTGTGTGTCCTCGTACGAAACCTGTACATCTTTCTTCGATTATTGCGAAGGGAAATGGTTGCTGTGGCAAACAGTTTATGAGCCTCTGAGGTTGTTTATAGCAATAATAACCTTGGGTTGTAGGGGGGGGAGGTTTCTCTGATCGTACTCTGTTTAATAATTATCGTCTAATTGTAACAAACTAGGCTGTTGTAAGAATTATCCAGAGTGGTTTATCGACAAAAGAGAATGGGAAGCTGAGCCGCATGGTGACCTGACCCCCAGGGGAATTCGCGGTGGAAATAACCAACGCTTTGTTCATAGCTGCGTATAATGAATCATCCTATAGTATTCAGTAATTTAGAGAAAATTAGCCTTTATTCATTTTGCATTAAAATTGTATTGTATAATAGTACTGGATACAATATCAAGAGTATTCTAATTATTGAGTTTAAGTCACCATCAGTGACGTCACGAATCAGATCTAACTTCTAAAGCGGAGTGACCGGCGGTCATAGGTCAGCAGGGTTGACATGTCTAATATTTCTCAAAGTTTTAATAACCATTTTTGTGATCGGGAACAGCTTTGCCGTTAGATGTTTGTGTAATCTAATTAAAGTAAAATAATTCAACCAGTCTGGATCAATTAAGTACAACAGAGTTTAATTGTTATAACTTAAACCTGGCTAGTAACTTGGTAAAACTTTGACTATGCGGAAGGATACAAGGTTCTAGTCTGGGGTAGACCAGACAAGGAGGAGATCAGTGTGATCTGCCGAGCAGCTGGGAGAGGTCAAAACATCTTACCTCTCCCCAAGACCAGCCCAACACCGAGAGCTGGAAAACATAGAGGTATAGTTGCTATGGTTATGTATAGAAATAGTCTTCTCATTTGCCATTCAGGTCAAGTAGGGAGTGTTAAAGTGATAGGGAGTGAACACATTTAGATTTTGTTTTAGTTTTCTTTTAATAAATTAAATTTGTTAATAATTTGCATTTTTATTGTCTCCATTTGGTTATGTGTATACTTGTCCTGGTCACGTGGTCCACACGAGGCAGAGTTGCATTGGGCGCCGATTCTAACATCGAATCGGAATTATCATTACCGTGTAATTTATTCCACACTCAAGGTCATCGTTTATAGTGGGGATCAAGCCCCTAGGTTGATTAATTAGCGTGATCGATCCAGACCTCGATCATTGCTCTTGTATTACTGGTCTGGTGGTGGCAGCAGAGGTGACTCTAGGGTTTTGTTCAGAGCTTAGGTCACGTCATACTGGGTGTAGAATCCTAAGTCGGTCAATCGTCTTAGGACCACGTGGCGTGGAGTTGGCTTTGTTAAAAGTTTTGGAGTCCCTTGGTTTAGAAATAAAAGTAAGAATACGGGTAGAGGGAGTAGAAGGTAGAGAAGTACAGTGAGAGGTACTCAAACCCGTGTTACATAATAGTCGATTTGATCGAGGAAAGATGTAGAGGTTTCGTCAGTGAACACGAAACCTGTATATCCATAAGGCTATTGACCCTTATCAAGACTCGATTTGATAAGGTCACCACAATAACTTATTGAGCAAGTAGCTAGAATAATTTAGTATTTGTAAACTTTTAATTTATACTCAGAGAGAGGCTGGGTGTACTGTAGTGCCTCGCATCTCGAGGTATACCCCATAAAGAGTCTACTTTAGCCCTGGACGATGTTCAGGACATCAATAGGTTCTGGTGGTGACTTTAACAACCCTTAAGAGGCTAGGGTCAGATTCACGAAAGCACTTACGCAAACACTTTCGAACCTGTACATCTTTTCTCAATCTTTGGCGGCTTTGTTTCCAATTATTAAACAGTTAATGAGCTCCGAAGCACCAGGAGGCTGTTTATAACAATAACAACAATTGAATGGGAAGTTTTCATGCTTGTAAACTGTTTAATAAATGTAACCAAAGCCGTCAAAGATTGAGGAAAGATGTACACGTTCTTAAGTGCTTGCGTAAGTGCTTTCGTGAATCTGGCCCCCTGGTTATCGACCCCTAAAGCCCAATACCAATCCAAATCCAGGTCCTCGAATTTCCACAAGAGGTCCAAACGTCGAGTGTAAACATGTGCGGTGAAACGTCGGTGTTGTTGTTATAGACTCAGCTACTCGGAACAAGTTCCAAGTAGCACGGGCTATGGTGAGCCCGTAGTGGACTTACCTGGCACAGGAGCTGGGCAAGTAGCACGGGCTATGGTGAGCTCGTAACTTACCTGGCACAGGAGCGGGGCAAGTAGCACGGGCTATGGTGAGCTCGTAACTTACCTGGCACAGGAGCGGGGCAAGTAGCACGGGCTATGGTGAACCCGTAGAGGACTTACCTGGCACAGGAGCGGTGCTGTGCGGTGAAACGTCATCGGTGACGTAATATATAACTCGTCGACGTGCAGTTTCGTGGTTTCAGGGCAGACTACACTATGCGCTACGTTATCCCGTTTTCCATTGAGAGAGGAAGCTTGTTAAGTTTACCTAAGAGTCCCCTCCCTCCCTCGCTCCCTCCCTTAGGTCAACGGCTGATCTTCCTCAGGATGAAACCCATAACAGTATTCTAACTCCCAGATACCGATACGTGTATTGCTAGGTGAACATAGGCATCAGGTGGAAGGAAAAATGACACCCCTGGAAACGTCTCTCGCGGTCCGGAAATCGAGCCAGAGTCCTTGCGGTCGTGAGCGCATTTGCATCAATTGTTCAATATCCCGATTTCTCTATAAATTAATGTCAAAAAAACGTTCGTAAAAAGACGATAGAGACTAATTGCGATAGATATTGATTTATTTTTCGTTCGACCAATCAGAATGAAGATAAATATGGTTTATCTTAGCGTTTAGCCAATCACTGTGAGGTGACATGACGCGCCCCTCGGGGCAAAATTTAAAAATTTAAATGACCGTTTGTCAACAGTGTGACGTCACATGAGCGTTTGTTAACAGTGTGACGTCACAGACAGTGTTGATGGACCTTGTGACGTCACAGACAGTGTTGATGGACCTTGTGACGTCACAGACAGTGTTGATGGACCTTGTGACGTCACAGACAGCGTTGATGGACCTTGTGACGTCACAGACAGCGTTGATGGACCTTGTGACATCACAGACAGCGTTGATGAACCTTGTGACGTCACAGTGTCGATGGACCTTGTGACGTCACAGACAGTGTTGATGGACCTTGTGACGTCACAGACAGCGTTGATGGACCTTGTGACGTCACAGACAGCGTTGATGGACCTTGTGACGTCACAGACAGCGTTGACGGACCTTGTGACGTCATCTACAGTATTTCACTATAAGTCTTCCTATATTTTTGTTAACCCGCGCTCGTCCCTTCCATTGTTATGAATAACAAACACTTCTGTGTCAACAATGACCAACGAGGCCCTTATCTGTACCATGATCATTGACTTCTTGCATAAACAACAAGGTGTTTAGCCAAACCAAAGACGAAGATAATCTCGCGAGTCTGAAAACACTCACCATCTTGAGTGCTGCACTCCACCTTGAGGCGTCAAACTGCACACCAGGAAACACATGACAGAATCAACGTTGATTCAGAATCAGCTGAATCGACGTCGTGTCGATTCTTCAGCGAGGAATATTGAAGGTCTTGTGGGTTTGTGTTTGTGTCTATGTCAGCGTGAGGGTGTGTTCTTTTCTCTCTCTCCCAGTGTTGGAGGGAGGGGGTGGTCACATGCAGTGTTGGAGGGGGTAGTCACATCCAGTGTTGGAGGGGGGGGGGTCACATGCAGTGTTGGAGGGGGTGGTGACATGCAGTGTTGGAGGGGGTAGTCACATCCAGTGTTGGAGGGGGTGGTGGTCACATGCAGTGTTGGAGGGGGTGGTGACATCCAGTGTTGGAGGGGGTGGTGGTCACATGCAGTGTTGGAGGGGGTGTGGTCACACCCAGTGTTGGAGGGGGGGTGGTCACACCCAGTGTTGGAGGGAGGTGGTGGTCACACCCAGTGTTGGAGGGGGGGTGGTCACACCCAGTGTTGGAGGGAGGTGGTGGTCACACCCAGTGTTGGAGGGGGTGGTGGTCACACTCAGTGTTGGAGGGGGTGGTGGTCACACCCAGTGTTGGAGGTGGTGGTCACACTCAGTGTTGGAGGGGGTGGTGGTCACACCCAGTGTTGGAGGGAGGTGGTGGTCACACCCAGTGTTGGAGGGAGGTGGTGGTCACACCCAGTGTTGGAGGGGGGTGGTCACACCCAGTGTTGGAGGGAGGTGGTCACAAGCAATGAAGAAAATAATCTTTCAGAATGAGTCATTTGATGAATTTAAGATAATAATGTAATGTATTGCTCTCATATTCTACAAAAACAATCCTACCACAACAACACACTCCACCACCACCACCACAACACTAACACATTCCAATACCACAACAACACACTCCACCACCACCACCACAACACTAACACATTCCAATACCACAACAAGAACACATTCTACCACAACAACAATACACTCCACAACAACAACAACAACAATACTCCACCACCACAACACCACCTCCACCACAACCACGAAAAAGCTCAGAGGTATACCATTAGACTAGTCCCAGAACTAAGAGGCATGAGTTACGGGGAAAGGCTGCGTGAAATGCACCTCACGACACGGAAGATAGAGAGTAAAGGAAGACATGATCACTATCTACAAAATTCTCAGAGGAATTGGCAGGGGGTAGTTGAAGATAAACTGTTTAACACGGGTGGTTCGCGAACAAGGGGACACAGGTGGAAAATGAGTGCCCAAATTAGCCACAGAGACATTAGAAAAAACTTTTTCAGTGTCAGAGTAGTTAACAGATGGAATGCACTAGGCAGTGATGTGGTGGAGGCTGACTCCATACACAGTTTCAAATGTAGATATGATAGAGCCCAGTAGGCTCAGGAACCTGTTCACCAGTTGAGAGGCGGGACCAAAGAGTCAGAGCTCAACCATCACAAGCACAATTAGGTGAGTACAATTAGGTGATTAGGTGAGTACACTCCACCCAACCTGTCCTCTAATAAATTAAGTCTGAATTTGGCCGTTTGCCCGTATGGCCGAAAATGGCCGTACGAGTTTACGTCCTGTGAGTAACTCCTCACTCTCAGGGTGATGTCGTCCTGTCCTAAAATTCTCCACCACTGGTGGAGGAAGAAAGGGTGTTGGGTGTCGTCCCTGACATCCACCTATGTCAGGGAGACATCCACCTATGTCAGGGAGACATCCACCTATGTCAGGGAGACATCCACCTATGTCAGGGAGACATCCACCTATGTCAGGGAGACATCCACCTATGTCAGGGAGACATCCACCTATGTCAGGGAGACATCCACCTATGTCAGGGAGACATCCACCTATGTCAGGGAGACATCCACCTATGTCAGGGAGACATCCACCTATGTCAGGGAGACATACGTGCGAAAAGCGACACGTCATTGTTAGAGGACGGGTCGCTCCACCACCACCACAACAACACAGTCATCACAGCAACACACTCCACCACCACAACAACAACAATCTTCAACAACACACAACACACTCGACGTGTTATAGGTGGGTTGATCTAGATCCTTACACCATTGGCTAGGAAAAAGCAGCCGAAATCAGACGGCTGACAATTGATAACTTGTTTCGCACCGTCTTCAAATCTTTCTGTGCAGTTTGTCAGATAAATTACTTATTTATGTAGAAGGTATGTGGGTGGGGGGGTGGGTGAGGGGTCAGTGAGTGACCGCACCAATGTGAAAAGGGAACGTGTTGGCAATGAGTGACCCCCCAACCATATGTAGAAGGGTCGAGTGTGGCCAGCAAGTGACCTCACCAACGGTGGGTGATGTCAATGAGTGACCTCGTCAACTTGTAGGAAGGTGGGTGATGTCAATGAGTGACCCCGTCAACTTGTAGGAAGGTGGGTGATGTCAATGAGTGACCCCGTCAACTTGTAGGAAGGTGGGTGATGTCAATGAGTGACCCCGTCAACTTGTAGGAAGGTGGGTGATGTCAATGAGTGACCCCAACAATACCAAAGCGACCTAACCAGCTCTCACACCTGAGGTCATTTCCTGTTCACTAAATTCCCCGCCTGTGGGTTGCTTCCCGGCTCCCCTTGTTAGGTTCCACGGGCGTCTGTTGACATTTAGGAGGTTCTGGTTCTTATGAAGTTCCTGAGATAACTACCCCACCACGACCAAGACAACAACACAGACGCCATCACCATGGCAACACAGACGCCATCACCATGGCAACATAGACGCCATCACCATGGCAACGCAGACGCCATCACCATGGCAACGCAGACGCCATCACCATGGCAACGCAGACTCACCAGGCTGGTAACGCAGACCGTACCACATGTTGACAGGCATCAGGGAATGGTGCACGACGTGCAGTGCAGAGATGTGTTCATATTTCTTGTTCAGCAGGAAGAACACCTGGGGGGGGGGGAACGAACATCTTAATGAACATTGATGATGAAGTTACGACTACGACATGTTCTACAGTTTCTACTACTACGACTACATGTTGTGTTCCCCTTACTGATATTTCTATTATTTCTAATGAAGCTACTTATAACTATATTTCATTGGGTAATGTAGACAAAGTGAGGAAGTTTGCAGTGATGAATACAGTGAGTATTGAAGATTTTTACTGTGATATGGGGCAGACGGGGAGGGTTGCAAGTTACAAGGAGCTTAGAGCAGGTAAGCTGTTGCGAATGGGGTTGCGATGGTGGTGGGGAGGGGGAGGGGGGGGGATACCAACATCCGGACTGACCCGGAGACCGCCGGGTTCCCCATTTAGTACATCTACAGAGAAGAATGTGTCTATGCGAGGTAGGGGGAACGAGACGCTTGTGGCTAGCTTCATTAAACTCTACCGGATTACTGGTTATTTTATCGAGTATAATAGGGGCGTCGGGGGTCGCCATATTCCCCCATATGTATAACGCACTGATGTCATCAGGGGGTCAGACGCCGCCCCCTGCTATAGAGGCAGAGACGCTTGATCCACCGACCAGTCCAAGTGGATGATTTGACACGACAGGAGAAGGATGTATTATGAGGAACATTAAGAAGACCAGGAAGACTCACTGTGTCGAGGAAGTCCGCGAACTTGGAGACGTAGTACCAGTAGGCGGCCCGCAACATCTGGAGGGGGGGGGGGTAGGGATTACTTCTAGGGATGTGGTCTTGTTGCTGCATACACAAATGTTTGTGTGCATACGCTGGCATAAACATACGAACTCTTGCAATATGTGGATGTGATATAACACACCTTGTTATATATAACACACTAACACACACACACACACATACATACACACACACACACACACACATACTACATTAATTCCATCACCCAAGGGGGTTACCCCGACCAATATTACAACTAGGTGAGTACACACACAAACACACACTTTCACTGCTCCCTGCCCATCACTACCCCTCACTCCCCCCCCCCTTCCTTATTCTTTCCCCTCCCTATCCCTCTGCATCTCTCTGTCCTCAGTCCGTCAGCCCACCACTCCATATCACCCCCTTCTGTCCCTCTCCCCCACAGCCACTCCCTCTCACAGAGCACCCCCTCTAAATTCCCTTATATCCTCTGAATCATTTTCAGCCTAACTCACAACTAATTCACAAGCACAACTTCATCCCACTCATATTTACAACTCACAACTGCAGATACAAATACGAACAAGTGTGCTCTGAGAACTCAGGAAACAGTGTGTCCAAGAAGAGCCTTTAAATATAATATACCAATACGGATGGAGTTACAAATAAAGCAGTGACATCAAAATAATAGATCAGAGAAAAAGCCTGATATTATTGCAATAGTGGAAATCAAGACCAATGATATGATATCATGTACAATATTTCAAGCACAGAATACCAGATAATAGGAGAAGACAGGAAACTAAGGGGGAAAGAGAGAGAGAGAAATGAACTCCTTGTGAAAAGACAAGGAAAGTTTGAGTAATTTGAAGATGTTAATATATATGTATAGACAGGCTACATCGCTGGAACTATGACAGCAGACGAAAAAAAAAGATATAATATCTCTTGGTAACATACAACTAGTAGACGCCTCAGATATCAATATAATGATACAAAGCATATACAGATGAGCTGTAAAGGGGGCAGCAACAGCACACAGAATGCAAGTAAAACTATTAATCATAGAGAGAGAGAGAGAGACAGACAGACAGACAGAGACAGAGAGGGAGGGAGGGAGGGAGGGAGGGCAGAACAGACAGACACAAACAGGCAGGCAGCCAGACAGACAGACAGACAGACAGACAGACAGACAGACAGACAGACAGACAGACAGACAGACAGACAGACAGACAGGGAATCGAGAAACGCCCATGTTGGTAAGAAAGATGTGGAAACACCTCACCATCTGGTGTGTGGGTTTAGTCTTCACGGGGAACAAGATTTGTGGAGGTTCTGCAGAAGAACTTTTTTACTCGACACGTTAAAAATTAAATAAGGGAAAGTGGGAGAAATGCATTTACGTTACTGGATCTGATCTTCTCCAAAATAAAGAAAATATATAAGACTTTGAACATGAAATACCACTAGGAGGCCGCGACCATTGTGTCCTGGTCTTTAACTTATTTATTTGAAAACAATGGATGTGATTCAAGGGTTCAGAGAAAGGAATGGAGGCTACAGGAAAATGAATTACACCACAGCAAGAGAAAGAACTTAGGAAACATGAAACGGAAGCAAGGACTTATGGAGAAAAGAGTCTAAGGAATAATAAGCCAGAGAGAGATTCATGCTAACAGTAAGTGTAAAAGATCTTCGAGGGAATACGACAAGTCATGATTCAATAGACAAACCAAGAAGCAAAAACGAAAATCACGAGGGAGTGGAAAAATACTGTGGACAGAGAACAGAAGAAAACCGCCATAGATGCAACAGAGCCAGGCACGAATTCGAAAACCAAAGAGTATAAAAAATATTTTTAAAAAAATTTCATTGTATCCAAAGGAAAGAAACAACCAAACATACGACATAATCATAAAATAAGAAAAAAAAGTCCATAAATGCCCAAGTGACTAGATATCACACGAGGGGGGGGGGGGAGGAGAGCTGCAGGATAACTGCAGATGAAATAAACCTATGGAACCAGGTGTCATACTATCCTCGGTGAAATGTTATCTGCATAGACCCTCAGCATACTCAGTATTCTGAAGATCGCAACACTCAGTGTTGGAAGTTCTTGGAAGTTCTTTCCTTTGGAAGCTTATTTTTACACTTCTGCCAGTTCTTGGAAGATGGTGAACGTGGTGTCAATAAGGAGAGAGAGAGAGAGAGAGAGAGAGAGAGAGGGAGGAGGCACTAAATCACAGACCAGTACCACTAATAAGCATTCTCTACACGGTACTCGTAAGGATAAGAATATTAAAACACCTGGAGCGGCTCAGACATATAAACGAACACCCACATGGCTTCAGGGAAGGGGAAATCCTGCCTTAGCGACCCTTCAGCAGTTCCACGATAAAATCACGAAAATAAGACAGGCTGGAAAGACAGTTACTGCGCATTTCTGGACTGTTTTTATGTTTTGTGATTACACACGCCCTTATATAACTGTTTCCGTTTAAACCATAGAAGCACCCACACATATCCCGTTTTCATTTAGATGACACACGAACGCACAATGCTCAGACAACCGATTGCTTTGGTTTATTTGCTGGTAATGGCGTGAGGGGGGGGGGGGGGGGTAGCCACTCACCCTCAAGGCCTCTGGACTGTTGGAGAAGTCACATGTCTGGCAGCGGTAGCTGTAGGTCGTAAGCCATCCTGCCATTGCGACCTGTAGCCATTATGGGAGGTTAATATGTGGCTTATTATGAGAACAATGGTGATGACTTAGGATAGGGGAATGATGAATGAGACGAGGGGGGTTGTTCAGTTATACTTAGCACTGGATCAGTGGTATTGAATGAGTAAAGGAGATATTCTCATGGGGACAGAAGCCCTGGTTTAACCCCTAGTCAGAGAGATTAAAAACGATCACTTAAAACGATCACAACATAGGTTCGAATCCCTCTCACGGCTCCTACTGATTTTGTCATCGAAACATATGAATATCCAAACCTGTGTGGTGAGTGCACACTCTCCCGAACACCAAACTCTCTTCCTGTACGTGTGTTCGAATCTCTCTCTTATGGAATTTTTAGTTCCATTGGAAATAAATTGGGGGCCATACAGTGAACTCGAACTCGCGGCCCTGGACTCCCCCATACACACAGAAATCACAATAGCGTGATGCATCAAATGAACAAATCCACAAGGGCCGTGGCGAGGATTCGAACCTACGTCCGAGAACATCCCAGACGCTGCCTTAATCGACTGAGCTATGACATGATTCATCCACATTCATTACCCACTGTACCATGATGAGCGAACAGTGTCTCAACCAGACGTTATCACTGACTTATAACTTGATATTAAATTAGTGCCTAATACAGTTGAATCCACTTCCTGAAATATAGCCATAACAATGGATATACATTTCATAAGTTTACCATCAGAAAAGACCAGGATTGGTCTTTCCTGAAGGTAAACCTCCATTCCAAAACGTTTTGGAATAGGGTTCTTGATTCATAGAACAGAGTACCAGGATTCGTAAAAGACGAGATAGGCTGGAGTGTTACCAGAGCAGGATAGATATATGAGGTAGGATAGTTGGATATTAAGTCCATCGTCTTCTGAAGCGTCTCACCATCGCCACCTGACTCACCTCTCCTCCTCACCTGACTCACCTCTCCTCCTCCTCACCTGACTCACCTCTCCTCCTCACCTGACTCACCTCTCCTCCTCACCTGACTCACCTCTCCTCCTCACCCGACTCACCTCGTACAAGAGCCAGAAGGAAATAACGACCTGCAGGGCGTTGTACACCACCATCACTGGCCGGAGACCCGAGACCGGCCGCCTGTCCTCCATGAGTTTGGGCGCCAGGCAGGTGACGCCCAGGACGTAGCCGACGGAGATGATGTAGGTGGGTAGCGGAGACTTCATCAGGAGCCAACCATCCTGTCTGGGGTCAGGGGGCAGCTGGGTGGCCACCAGCAGGTGGCCATACACCAGACTAAACAAGGTCGAAAGCATACCCCATCTGGCGCATTCTCCAAGCTTGGCCAAATTTTCTGAGGAAGCAAGATTGGAACGAGACCGAAGCTTATTTGGCATACAAACATTTATAACCTTCCGCTCAGTTAACGTATGTTTAATATTATTACTAAGCTCTTGGGAAAAAGTTTCAAGGCCTTGACAATATTTTCAAACCCAGAAAAATATGGTAAACATAACACATCCTTTGGGCGAATTTTCTCACTGCATATATTATTATAATATGTACGACGTGCTTTGCTACGGCAAACTTCCAAAAAACTCAGTGGATAACAATGCTTGAGACCAATAGAATCAATATTCTTAAACTCTTCATCTAAGAGTTCAGGACTAGTAACCCGAAGAGCTCTTAGATACACAGAGGAAACAATAGATTGTTTCACATTGTATCTATGCCCTGAGAAATAATGAACGTAAGAAAAATTATCGTTAGCTTTCTTTATTTGTTTATCTTATGTTCATTATATCACAGGGCATAGATACAATGTGAAACAATCTATTTTCTCCTCTATGTATCTAAGAGCTCTTCGGGTTGCTACTCCTGAACTCTTAGATGAAGAGTTTAAGAATATTGATTTTATTGGTCTCAAGCATTGTTATCCACTGAGTTTTTTGGAAGAGGAAGTGGAGACAGATATAGACAGTCAGCAAAGTAATACCTTCATGGCCTTGTTGTTGGTGTGGGTGGTCGGAGAGGGCCCTGTGCGTGCTGGTGGAGGGGGCCATGTTGATGAAGAGTGCGAACCACGGCTGGAAGATTGACTCAGGCTGCTGGAACGTTGACGAAGGCGGCTGAAAGATTGACTCGGGCTGCTGGAACGTTGACTCAGGGGGCTGGAAGATTGGCTCAGGCTGCTGGAACGTTGACGAAGGCGGCTGGAAGATTGGCTCAGGCTGCTGGAACGTTGACTCAGGGGCTGGAAGATTGGCTCAGTCTGCTGGAACGTTGACGAAGGCGGCTGGAAGATTGGCTCGGGCTGCTGGAACGTTGACTCAGGCTGCTGGAACGTTGGCTCAGACTGCTGGAACGTTGTCTCAGGGGCTGGAAGATTGGCTCAGGCTGCTGGAACGTTGACTCAGGCTGCTGGAACGTTGACTCAGGCTGCTGGAACGTTGACTCAGGCTGCTGGAACGTTGACTCAGGGGGACTGGAAGATTGGCTCAGGCTGCTGGAATGTTGACTCAGGCTGCTGGAACGTTGACTCAGGGGGCTGGAAGGTTGGTTCAGGCTGCTGGAACGTTGACGAAGGCTTCTGGAAGGCTGATTAAGGCTACTGGAAGGCTAATTAATGCTGCTGGAAAGTAAGACATGTATGAAATTGGTTTCAATAATGGTAAACGGAGACAGAAAGGGACAGGCAGGAAGAAACAGAAAGCAGAAGGAAAGGAGGGGGTCGGGAAGGAATAGAAAAGGACAGAAAATGGAAGAAATCGGCACGAAGAGATAGGTAGAAGTACAAGTAGCAGAAAGGGCAAGAAGGGACAGAAAAGTCCTGAAAAAGCCGGAATGGGCAGGGTGAAGGAACAAAGAGACAGAAAATGATAGGAAAGAACGGAAAGAACCGTCGCTAGAAAGAACCGTCGCTAGAAAGAACCGTCGCTAGAAAGAACCGTCGCTAGAAAGAACCGTCGCTAGAAAGAACCGTCGCTAGAAAGAACCGTCGCTAGAAAGCTATATAGTGTGATCTAGAAGTACACTCTTCCCCCCCCCCCTGCGCTCAGTCTATGCTAGTATGACCATTACTGAACGTCCAAGAAGGTTGACTTGTTGTGTTGTCTAAGATTCGCTACCTGGAACAAAAAGTTCCAAGTAGCACGGGCTATGGTGAGCCCGTGAGGTTGACTTGTCTCCTACAAGCAGGAGCTCATGCTAAACGTTTGCAATGACAGTTTAGATGCGCGCTCAACACACACTATATATATATCCTTTCACGACCAAATATCATATTCACTCCAAACATCTATCTATACCATTTATGGGCTATTCATGCCCGTGCCACCTCTTGGGTGGCTTAATCTTCATCAATCTGTGATGCCTTGGAGATGGCTGTTGACAAAATGGGTATTGTTCCACTTCTGCTGCATGGTTGACAGCTTCTCCTCCGTATCAACCTACCCTGGCTTTGCGCCCTGGAGAGGCCACTCCAGAGCGCAACTCCAATCTCCCTAGGGAGAACCCCAGGGAGTGAACCCCAGGGAGTTAACCACAGGAAGTGAACCCTAGGGAGTGAACCCCAGGGAGTGAACCCCAGTCGGATGTCCCGACTGGGGTTCACAAAGTGTCACAAGGGGACACCTTGTCACAAGGTTACAAGGTGAAGGCATATTGTGACAAGACAACCCCAACAGCCTGGTAACTCCAGGAACCCCCTTCTGTTGTGACGCATAACGTGAAAACGCTCAGATATATCTGTAATGTCTTGACATTTCTTGCAAAACATATACAATGCAATTCACATACGAGATACCTCCATAGATGCCATGTTTAAGTAGTCTATAGAGTCACATGTCAACAGCCATGTTCTATATTCCTGTCAACATTAGTCTAATGTATCCTTGTGCATAATTAACTCAATTATCACTGTGCCTTTCACCAAAACATTGAGAACATTGAATAGCATTTATATAAGCCCACTTTATGTCGGCGATGAGTCACAATAACGTGGCTAAAGTATGATGACCAGACCGCACACTAGAAGGTGAAGGGACGACGACGTTTCGGTCCGTCCTGGACCATTCTCAAGTCGATTGAGAATGGTCCAGGACGGACCGAAACGTCGTCGTCCCGTCACCTTCTAGTGTGTGGTCTGGTCATCCCACTTTATGTCGTCAAGAAACGCAATCTTTACCTGTAGAGAATCGCCATACAGTCGGCTATAATACTCACCGGTTTGTGGTGAAGTCACAAATGGCTCGAACTATTCTGAATCTGTGGATTTATCTGATGTATGCTCTCTGAGGGGCGGCATGTTATGCGCTCTGAGTGGCGGCACGTTATGCTCTCTGAGGGGCGGAACGTTATGCTCTCTGAGGGACGGTACGTTATGCTCTCTGAGTGGCGGCTCTTTACGCTCGCTGAGTGGTAAACAACAAGGTCTGAACGCAAAGGGATACTTCCCCACATTGTAAATCCCTTCTGGCCTACTCTAACACATACACAAAAATAAATATTATAATCCGTAAATGTTTATTCGTCATATTGCCGAGAATCCGCGTAAAGAAATGCATTTCCCGTGTGAGCGGCGGAGGTGTTGTGCGACCCACTCATCTCCAGGGCCACAGCAAGAGCAACAGTCGTTATGTTTATCAATAGTATGGTCAAGGGTGAGCATCCTTGCAGAGTTGTGCAAACAGTGCATTACACTTCAGCCCTCACGACGCTTGCCTTCAATATGACGTATCTTGTAAAGAGGGACTTAAGTGAGGACGTAGATGTACTTGAAAGAGATAATTTACTGAGGACATAGATGTACTTGAAAGAGGTAATTTAGTGAGGACATAGATGTACTTGAAAGAGGTAATTTAGTGAGGACATAGATGTACTTGAAAGAGGTAATTTAGTGAGGACATAGATGTACTTGAAAGAGGAATATTAACACTTCGGGTATATGGATAGTACCTCTAATACCCGGGGGAGTATAGTAGCCGTTCTTGGGGACACGTGTGTCTCTAGAGGACACGTGTGTTTCAGGCACACGTGTGTGTCTGTGTGTGTGTGTAATCACCTAATTGTGCTTCCGGGGGTTGAGCTCTGGCTGTTTGGTCCCGCCTCTCAACCGTCAATCAACAGGTGTACAGGTTCCTGGGCTTATTAGGCTCTATCATATCTACACTTGAATTATGGAAACTGGGAAACTGTGTGTGTGTGTGTGTGTGTGTGTGTGTGTGTGTGTGTGTGTGTGTGTGTGAATTCTGCATCAATGTACACAAAATGGGATACGCATCACATTCCATTTTCTATGAATAACGTAAACTATTATTTCAGGTGTCGGGGACAGTAAGCCTGTTTTTAGACCTATCCGGGTCACGCAAAGCCTATGCCTTTTTCCTAGGATACAACCCACAACACTGGCCTAAACGAACAGTAGCGTGAGATGAAAGGAAAAATTGCACAACCGTTTCCATCCTATCCTTCGTGACAGTAACAGCTCCATAGACGGCAAAATATACCTATACCCTGAGATGATTTCGGGGCTTAGCGTCCCCCGCGGCCCGGTCCTCGACCAGACCTTCTCCTACCGTATTGATTAGTGGCAAAAATAGACATTTTGATAATAAGAAAGTCATACCATCTTCAAGGTTTCACAACCACCTGTTTTCGACGTGTTTGGCGTTCCACGTTCTCTGTAAATATCTATCTACACTTGTCCTCTATGTTCCTATCCTGCTAATTACTTCAGTCATCTTTCGTACGAATTGAGTTTATTTTTGGTTGGGAAATTCCGCTTCGTTCACAAGCCACTTTTCCGCCTTTATGACGGGAATATACCTGCCACCTGGGTATATATATATATATATATATATATATATATATATATATATATATATATATATATATATATATATATATATATATATATATAATGTGAGAAAGCTACATGAACGCGCAAGCCATATATCACTAAGAACTCTTTGACCCGGCCAGGATTCGAACCCATGCCGTCCAGGATCACCCCTAAACGTACACAGTACCGTGACCACCAATGACGATCATTGGTGCGGTGGTCACGGTACTGTGTACGTTTAGGGGTGAGCCTGGACGGCATGGGTTCGAATCCTGGCCGGGTCAAAGAGTTCTTAGTGATATATATATATATATATATATATATATATATATATATATATATATATATATATATATATATATATACATATATATATATATATATATATATAATATCGTACCTAGTAGCCAGAACGCACTTCTCGGCCTACTATGCAAGGTCCGATTTGCCTAATAGGCCGAGTGATTTTCTTTATTTTCAATAAATGGTTTCCTTTTTGTTTATTTTAAATATTATTATTATATTATATTAAGAACATAAATTATTGACTTAATT